TCTCCTCCTCTCTCCTTGTCTCCTCCTCTCTCCTTGTCTCCTCCTCTCTCCTTGTCACCTCTCCTCTCCTTGTTTTCTCTCCTCTCTCCTTGTCTCCTCCTTGTTGACTCTCCTTGTTTTCTCTCCTCGTCTCCTCCTCTCCTTGTCTCCTCCTCTCTCCTTGTCACCTCTCCTCTCTCCTTGTTTTCTCTCCTCTCTCCTTGTCTCCTCCTTGTTGACTCTCCTTGTTTTCTCTCCTCTCTCCTTGTCTCCTCCTCTCCTTGTCTCCTCCTCTCTCCTTGTCTCCTCCTCTCTCCTTGTCACCTCTCCTCTCTCCTTGTCTCCTCTCCTCTCTCCTTGCCTAGTTTGCTGTGCAGTTTACAGATGTTGTGATTTGTTTTCCATACATCTTGTGGTATTTTCAGAAAACAAGTTAATAAAAGAGAATGGTTACATCTATATAACACTTTTCTACCTTTGTTAGACACTCAAAGCGCTTAAATCAAGGATCCACTCATCCATGCTCTCATTCATGCACCAAAATGTGCATTAAGCAGTGGGCTGAATCTTATACCTCATTAGTTTTAGTTCATAGTGATACTATCAATTCAACATAATTTCATGATTATGCAGAAAATAATATGCACATGTTGCTAAGAATAATAATAAAAAAGATATATTATTTAAACTTTGTTTTATTAGTCTTAGGTGCACAGATCATTAATCAATACATAATTACAGTAAATAGTCAAGATGGAGATACACTCAATTCAATACGAAGTTAATAAAAATATGATACCCATCTTTCTTAAAATTCAGCTTACTTATGAATGTTATTAATGTTTACCTTCTTCAGCAGGATCTTTTCATCAAAATGAAAAGCTTTCATATACATTTGTAATAGTTCTGTTCATGTGTGAAGAAAGGTCCCCACTAGGCATCACTAAAACAAGGTTTTTTTAATAGTGACACCCGCTGGTGGTTTATGGTATGAGGTCCCCAGGAGAATAGAAAAATCGGACAAAAAAAATAAAAATGAATTGTGATGATTAACATGATTTCAGGAAGACCACAGTCCAAAAAAATTATCTGTCTTTATATCAATTTTTTATGACTTAAGACATGCCTTAAATTCTTGTTCAAAGTGAGGACCCCACGCGGTAGGTCCTAAACACACCAAAAGATTTGGTCCTCACCATGTAGCAAAAACGTAGACCATAGACTGTATAGAAACATCATGGTGTCATTATGATGATGATAAACAATCTGTAAATATTTTGTAAATTTGTTCATGTAAATACTCTATGCTGTTTCTCTGTTTACTTTCGGTATATCTATGACTGTATACTGTTTGCTTGTATTGCCTTTTTTATTTGCCCCCCCCTCCTATGTGCCCTTCTGGGTTGCTTCTTTGGCCCGCATGTATCTCCAACTACATATTTTGTAATCTCTGTCTACAATGTATCTGAACTAGTCCTTTTCTTTGTTTCTATTTTTTTTTCTGTATATGTGTTTGTCTGCAATAAAAAGTAAAAAAAAAATTTATAAAAAAAAGGACGTCGTTAATATTGATTTGCGTTAACGCGTTAATAACGTGATATTTTGGACAGCACTAATATGGATATATACACACCTCACTCATGGTTCACATCAACTTCATCTCCCATGAGCTTTTGCACTTGCAGCGTCAAGTACTGACATATGGCTAAAGCACTCATATCTACGAACAAATCACACATTGCACATACTTTCTGGTCATTAACACACACTGACCATTGATCCATGACACTGACACGCATAGAAACAAGCGCATGCGGCTGCCGTGTTGTTCTGACAATAGTGTACGTGCTCAAAAGCGAAAGTAATACAACAACATGCAAAACAGAAACCTAACACTAGGGGCGCACTTAGTCACTTTATTCATTTTCACCAACCATGAGCGAGAAGACTATGCCAAAAAAGGCGTGTTTAATGTAGCAGAGCTAAATAATTAACTAAAATTCTGGAAATACATCTTAACATTCAGACATGCTCAATATAATATGATCGTGTGCATGCGTATATACTTAATTCTCATTTATTTCATTTATAATTTTAATTTAATTTGTGTTGAAAATAGACATAAAAAGCATTTACAGCCCAGCCTCACCCAGACTCTGCATCCAGTGGCCCCCAGGTAAATTGAGTTTGAGACCCCTGATATAGGAGGGTTCTATCATAAATAGTGTATATACAGTAGAGCCCTGCACTTGAGCCCTTGGCCCGAGGGCCCCGACGGCCCGACAGCCCGAGGGCCGGGCTTCGGGCCGATGACCGCATAATGACCTCGGACACGGGCCGGGCTCTTCATTTTCAGAGCGGCAGAATAGATTTACGAGCGCACCCACTGAATATAGCGTTCTATCACGCTGTAGTGTTTGTTGTTCTGTGTAGTGTTGTCATTGACGGCACATAGCGTTACTTATGTAATGTGCAGATGTGTTGCAGCATCGGGGGCATCATACAGATGCGGCCGTTCACTCTGCACCACTCCGCACACACAGAACTCATTGCAACACATCACTACCATGTATAACTCCGCCCTCTAGCTAAGTCTGCGTTCATATCAGTGCGCGGCACTATATACTACGCTAAAACATTGTTATGGGAGGTTACAAAAAAAAAAAAAAAGGCGGGCTTGATGCGGGTTTCGGGCCTGAAAATTCAGAAACCATATCGGGCCGGGCCGGGCTGGGGCGCCACCCCCTCGGGCCAGGGCCGGGCTCGGGCCCAGATAATAGGCCCGTGCAGGGCTCTAATATACAGGGTTCTATCATATATAGTGTATATACAGGGTTCTATCATATATAGTGTATATACAGGGTTCTGTCATATATAGTGTATATACAGGGTTCTGTCATGTATAGTGTATATACAGGGTTCTATCATATATAGTGTATATTTTCCAAAGGTTTCCACGGCTAGGCAGCGCCAAAAGGCAGTAGCGGTAGATGCGGCGTCTACTCTTTAACTCATTGACTGCCATTGACGTGTTAACACGTCAAACTAAATAGTAACGTTGTCTGCCAATGACGTGTTAACACGTCAATTGCGTTTCCCGCTATTTTTACGTTCCCAGCTGTCCATTGAATCTAATATGTGGAGATTGGCTTGAGGCAATACTTTATGGAGCCAGCAGATGGCAGCATTGCGCTATGAATGGTTTGAACACAGCTAGATGCACTGTTTGTGGCCCTTTTTTCTCAGCTTTCTGGTGATTTCAATAAAACTTCCCTCTACTCAACTGGGGATTACAGAAGAACTAAACAAGATAGAAACAAAATTCTTTTTGCTGGTGAGAGTAGACAGCCCATTCTTTCAGAATCTAGTTTTAGATTTCAGATAGTCAAAGTACACAATATTCTGTGGGTCTTGAAAAATCAGTAAAAACCACCAGAAACGGCTGGCAATATGGGAGTACCTGTTTTGAAATGGGCTGGCAGTCAATGAGTTAAATGTCTATGGTGGCAAGGACTTTGTCACTAACCATGTGGCTCCGCAACTGCCTTCATGTGGATTGAAAAGGGATTGGATGAAGCAAAAAACGTATAATAATCCAATCACTGGCCGTTTGCTATACATACTCAAACGAGATTCCACAACCTCCGTGGCCGCAGCGTTCTGACCCCAGAGCAACTAAGGTCGCTTTTTAATGACAGAAGTTCCAGCCTCCAGCGGCCTGTGAGCCACTTTGACAACAACGCGGCGAGCACTCAGCATTAGCACAAAAAAAGAAGCCAGTATAAATTCTTGAACCGCACGACAAATGGGGTGAAAACCAATCACCATCCCCTGGTACTCATCTGGGTACCTCCCTGAAAAGGTTATGTGAATAAAGACTCTCTGCTTTGGTTAGTGCTTTCTACAGTGTATTCTTTACTTGCAATTGACGTCACGTCCGCCTCATTACATATGCGTATCTCGAAGTGGTGGTCAGCCGAGCTAGTTGTTCACTAGAGCAGCGTGTCTGAATATGCCTTTTGCGTGTGTCGTTTTAGGTTGTTCTCAGCGATCGATTTGCGAAACTGATAAAGGATATTTTTGGGTTCCTCATGAAGGGATCATAAAAGGGCCTCGCACTGAGGACTTTACGAAAAGACGCAGGGAAAAGTGGTCACAATGCGTTGCTATTAAATCCCCATCTTTTTTAAAAATTAACTTTCAGGTATGAGTTGGCGTTTAAGAAGGAACACTGAATGTTTGAGCTGAAAAGAACACAGCACACATGTTGACGCATCGTTTTGTTGAGAAGTTCATTCACCAATCCTTACTTACACGGCTCTTTACGATGCAGGATTTGTCCTTCAGGACCTTAACTCTGAGTTCCTTGACCCATCCACAGACGAAAAAGTTGTAGGCAACCATGCTTTTCCAAGCCATTTGTTTGGCAGTGCAAAAGCTTGCAAGTTTGGGACATCCAGGAACTGAACTGGCGGATATTCTTCTAACTCGCAAATCAAATCATTCTTGGATAACGCATTAGTATCTATACCGTTACACAAATTGACTTTTTTGATGTATCGATCGAGAATTATAATCTAGAGTGAAGAAAATTACAGTCTAGGATTATGTCTTTAATTCAGAAAGAAGACATGTTTTATTGTCGATGGTAGAGACAGCATGAACTAAAACTTTACAGAATGTAAGTGATAGTATTAGGGGTGCAACGGTTCGGTTCATTTTTCAGTTCATTTAAAAAAAAAAATGTTTTGTCTTTTTAATAAACACAGTTCATGTGGACTCGGCACCTGCTTTGACTGCATATATATGCAATATATGAGGGTATTTACCCTCATACATTAAACCACCTTCCTGATTCTCCAGAGGAGGCGCTCCATTCTGGGCCCAGCCTCATTCACTGCATTTATTTAATTTTTGGCATTATCAGTTGTGACTGGGATTTTAGTACTGGGCCTTTGTCTTTCATTCCTCCACTGCTTGTGTCAGAACCTGCACTTTATTTTTTATTAATAATGACTTACCAATTCCATGATGGTGGTAGAGCATAGACGTGACTCCATCGAACCTGAAGCCATCAAAGCTGTACTCCTCCATCCACCAGCGCAGGTTGGAGAGGAGAAACCGCTGCACTTCCCAACTGCGCACACACACACGACACAAGGTCAGAACAACAACAAGCTGTGTATTATTCACACATCTCATCACGTACTTCAGGCCTTAGATTCATTTTCAACGCCACGGGGCATCCGCACACAGAGTACTCAGCCCAAACCCCATTATGATCCAGGCGGGAGTGACAGGAGATGGCATTTTCATTAACTGCTCCACACAAGGGTCATGAGTTGGGCTTTGATGTGATAAGGGATAATTGAAATTTGGAAATGTCACAAAAAAGAAAGATTAAAATTAGGTACCCTTTCAATAGTGAAAGAAAAATTACCAAAATCCCAAGTGACTTGGCTATGCCCTTTATGATAGGGGGATACAATATCAACAAAAGGGGAAAATACTGTAAAATCATTGTATTGTAAGGCATAATACAAAAGAACATCCTTATAATTAGAAAAAAACAATGCATAGTTTAAGTCTGGAGCTTAGATGCCAGCTGGAAGAGAAGAACTTGTCCCCGAGTAATTCTAAAATGTAGAACTACAAATGTGATTCTGTCCTAAACACCACAACATTTATAGTGAAATAAGCCTATTAATGTTTAATACACCACAGTGCAAAATCTGATTCTTCAAACTTAAAATACTTTTCATTTTTCCCATGAGCTGGCATGCATGACCACTTGGCACAGCTGGCCCACCCTGTGTCTCTGGACTGATAGGATTCCGTGCTACACTCGGATAAACAAACACTATGCATGGGAATTGACTTTTCTTCCCTCAGGAGTTGATAAATCTCAAAGCTTAAGACAGGCTTTCTTCTTCAGCAACAGCAGCGTCTGATGCACAAACAAGTGGCCCCAAAAACTCAAACACAACTTGGAGGTGATTGAAGGTTAGACAAACTCTGGGCTTGGTGTGGTCGCAAGTCGTTCTGATGGTCCTAATGACCAAAAAGTCCACACTTTTGAAGTTATAAAAGGCCAATAATGGGAATAAAACTTAAACGACTAAAAATGCTGGTCCAAACCATACAAACAAAGGAATGGGCTTCTTTTTCTAACACAGTTCACCAGAACGTCACACTGCTATGGACCCTTGACTGATATAAATTAATTTATCTTGTTTTTTTGAGGCGCTAAGGCTCAGCAGGTTCTGTTATTTCTCCATGACCTCAGCCACTCTGCCAAAATGCAACCTCTGCTCGTGAACACAAGCTCATGTTTCTGTTAAATATGTTCCCTCAATGCCTACACTTTATTAAAAAAAACATTTCATAACCTTTGTACACTAGGATCCACAGCACACAGCCCACCACAACTCTCCCAAACTTATAACGTGTCACGAGAGAAAGTCTGAATCTGAACATGGATTTTCCTCTTAATATATTTTTGGGTCTCAGGGCCAGGAAATAACAGTTTTTAAACTATAGTAAAACAAAAATCTAGATTGAAATTATAATTGAAATCTATTGAAGTTGTTCCTAACAGCCTTAGCAGGGAGTCCAGCGCCTTCAGCAAATTGTTCAGTTTGAAAAGCATAGATGATTATAACTGTCAGTCTCCTTGTTACCCAGGATTATGGACATTATGAACATTGACAGCTCAAGTGAAAAACATGCTTTATCTCCAGTAGTTAAATCCAGGGGAGGGGGACATACTAGATGTGAGAGAACAATTTTCCTTAAGTTTAATGTACTGGAAGCATATAATCAGTACTGTAAATCTGGAACCCTGCAAATTGATGCAGTCTTACTTCACATGTAGTTGGGTCGTGTCGTTTCAGTTCTTTATCCAACCAAATGTAACCATTGTGTGTTGTAACTTTTGTTTTCCGAGGGTAAAAAAACACATGACTCCTCCAAAACCTCTAGTGCTGTGTTCTTTTTCTGCAAGTGCACAGAAGCATGAAACCCCCAGATGAATCAGTAAGTTATGAGGAATAAAGTGCATGGTTCAAGGAGATGGTGGCTGGCAGTCCGTCCATCCTCCTTTCATGCCTGGTGGTTCCTCTGAATGACTGAAGTCATCTTAACATCTCTTGGTGGGGCTTAAAGTCACATAAGAGGTTGCCACAAGGTGCATTCAACTGGCTGTCACTCACTTTGTTGCCAACAAGTATGACATTCGACGACCATGTTTTTAAAAAAACTATAACGAGTGCATAGTACTAGGGAAAAAAACATTTACGTACACTGCAACAGTGCACACTGTTGTACATTCAACAAATAAAACAGTGGAATGTCTCAAACATGATTTGACACAATTTATTTGGTGACATAGTTACTTTATTGGTGGTTCCTCTGAATGACTGAAGTCATCTTAACAGAGTGCAGCAAAGGGTTTTTATTGGGGCAACAGCGGCTCAGTTGGTAGACTTTGGCCTTGAAGGTGGTGGGTTCGAGCCCAACACGAGACCTACTTCATGACTCCCACTGATGACTGCTGTGGTTGTGTCCTTGGGCAAGACACTTAACCCCACTTTGCCTGAAGCCCCCGCTGAAAGATCTCAGCTCCTGTGGACTCAGCACCTGCAGGAGGATCAGTGAGGGGGGCTCTGACTGCCACCCCCCTAACCCAGATATGGATTAAGGGGAAGAAAATGGGTGGATGGAGTCATTTACTGCTAACCCAAATAACAGCAACGAAAAGTCTCTTTCACAGGACGTTTCCTGTTAAAGTAAATGAGCAAAACCAACTCCTGTTGGTTTTTTCTGTGCAAAGCTGTGTTTTAATTTCAGGATTTCTTCATCAATCGCAAGAACCCACCCATTTTCTTCCCCTTTGTCCATTTCTGGGTCTGTGGGGTGGCAGTCAGAGCTGCACCCAATTTCAAAGAGCACCAGCCCCTTACTGATCCTCCTGCAGGTGGTGAGTCCACAGGAGAACTTTAAAAGTATTTAAAACATTTAGACATAAGTGATGATATGTAGTGTGGTGCTTCAAACTGAAAGAACTGAAATTTGCTCATGTCATCCTTGTCCAACTTCAGTTATTTGGTTCTTCTATACCAGACATAAGATAACAATGTTATTACCTTGACGTTATACTTCAGTCATACATAACGTTAGGCTGACTCTCGCCAGACCCTTGTAGTTCCGCCATGCTCCACCAGAGGCATTTTGCTTCACACTAGGGTCTGGGATAGAGCGCATTGCAAACTACTTCAGCAGATCAGAAAATAATCGACCAATCAGGATCGCCGGTGTTACGTCGGGTTTGCCTCGCCTTCTCAAGCGTGTCTCACGCAGCAGCGAAAGCAATCCAAGATGGCGGACATGAAGTCCGTGAATTTAAAAAAAAGTTTAAATACGAACAAATTAACCCTTTAAGCGCCAAAGTCGCAATATTGCGACAAGCAACATTGCTCACTTAAACAGGCTGTATCTAAAAATGTGGTGCAGAATCTTGTTAATACTTTTCACCAGGGGTTAGTGGACATGTGTGCCTGTAATATGAGCAGCATTTGTGGGTGTGGTTATATTGAAAGTTTTTGAGTAAATTGAGTTTGTAAAACACCTGCGGCGCAGCAGCGCGGAGGCGAAGCAGCAGCGGTAGAGCTGAGAGGAGCGAGAGCAGAGCAGAGGGAGAGAGTGTTTTTTATTTTACTCACGAGGTCTTCAGTACCAGAGAAGTACTTGGTCTGGTACTGGCTCACTCAGATTCAGAGGAGGAAGACACACAGGTGTCCAGTGAAGCAGACACGGACATTATTGGTGACGGGGAGACCGCACTCCATAGTCCATAATCAGCCCCTGTACAGCGGCTGCTTGTCCTCCGTGTGGCCGCGGTAGAAGCATTCTGTGAACGCCAAGCAGGATCCGTGGTGGAGGGGACAGGGGCATCATAACACCGGGCATGTGGGAGAAAGTAGCGGGGGTAGACATCCACGGGGAACACGGGAGACGCGGGAGAAGACGCGGGAGAAGTCGCGGGAGAGCCGCGGGGAAAAAAACACATCGCTAATCGCGTTCACTGCCTTTACCAACAGCGATGATGAGGATCAAGGCAGTTCTTGAGAGAAAATAATCCACAAAAGTGAATCAGAAGTGTTGAAGAGCCTGTTGTATGTTGTTGAGACGATCTGACAAGTTCTGAGCCCATTCATTTCATCTCTGTTTCTAAACGGTAAATCCTGCAGCCTCATTTCCACTGACAAAAATAGTAAGCCCACCACTTCTCTGAAAGTGAAATATTGAAACCAATCCCAAGATTTCATGACTGTAAACTATAAAGAGTGCTGTCTTTTTTTTTATGACTGAGATATTTATTGTGTTTTATCATGGGGGGGGGGGAAGGGGAGGGGATTGGGGATAAAAAATAGAAATAAAAATACAATAATAATAAAAAATAAATAATAAGATAACAAAGAGCAAAGGAAAAATAAAATAAAAATAAAATAAACTAAGATAAAAAGTAAAAAATAAACATATGTAAACCTATATACATACATACAGGTGACAATGAGAATACATACATATCACACTCGAAAGTTTAGACATATATTCACTAAAAAAAATAAAAAATAAATAAATATATATATATATATATATATATATATATATATATATAAGATAAAAATAAATAAATAAATAATAATAGTCCTTAACAGGAGTTACATTTATAAATCAGTAAGAATAACATAGTATAAAACAGTGACAGCTTTGTCACACTCTACAGTGTACTATTGTGTAATATAATTAAGATATTTTCCCCATTTTGCTAGGTATTCTTCCTGCCTATAATTTTTCTTATAGAAAAGCTGTTCATAAGAGGCTACTCTTCCTACTTCTGTAAACCATTCTCCAGCTGGTGGGGCTCTAGGATTTTTCCACTCTCTTAAGACTACCTGTCTACCTATCATTACTGCCGTTTGAATGAACTGTGCATTATTACATTGTTCTACAACAGCCGGGTCCCCCAACACATAAAGTCGGGGAGAAAACTCAAAGAAGTCACCTGTGATCTCTTGAATGAACTGGTGGACAGTATTCCAGTACTCTACAATTTTGGGGCATTGCCACAGTGCA